TGAGGGCTTAAAAATAAAGACGAGCCATGATCTAATAAAATGGCAGAACATTAGTGGACTACATCTAAGCAAAGATCTTGAAGTATTTCTTGCCCTTTTCCTTGGTGGTTTGCTGGAGGTACTCAGGGTAGCAGAAGCAACCAGAGGAACTCAGTCTGTTCAGCACATGGATAGGAGACCAGATGGTTAAAACATTAAATAATGATGGGTCCTTTGGGCACCGATTAGGCTTGAGAAGCTGCTTCCCCTACCCCTGCCCTCCACCCTCCCCAATCCCACCTCCAGCTCTGGTCCCAAACTCTGACTGTCCAGCGCTTTGGGACGTCCTCCCGATGTGAAAGGCACTTTACAAGTGTAATTTTGTTGTTGTTGTAGACGTTTGCAGTTTCGCTGTCAGACTGGCTCAGTTGGCAACACTCTTCTTCTGAAGGTCAGGTTCAAGCCCCATGTTTGAACTTGGTCTCTCTCGATTGAGACACTGAGGCAGTGTTGGGGGATAGTGTGACATTTTCTGAGGTGTCATCCTTTAGATGAGACTGTAAATCAAGGCTCCCCCCTGTTCAGGTGGATGCCGTGGCATTGATTGGAAAGAAATAAAAGTTTCTCTCGGTGCCCTGGCCAACTGCGTAAAAGGAAACATTCACTTCCTGGCTGTTTGTGTTTGCTGCGTGCAAATCAGCTGACATATTTGTTGACAAATAAGTCACTGCACTTCACAGTAAAATCCTGTGAAGTGCTTTGGGGTATCTTGATGCCGCCTCAATGAGATGCTATATCAGCTGCAAGGATTATTATTATTATTATTATTATTATAAAAAACCTGTGCCTAATACTCTCCAGAATTAGGTAAGCGAGATGCGTTCCTCCGGGACAGAGTGCACATTGTATTCCAGGGAATTTATGTCGGTGGAACGCATAGAACTCGGGTCTATCTACAACACTCTTAATCGTGGTGATGGGTTTTCACGTGTGATAGACAGACACCCAGCTGACTCCAAAAACTGATCAACACCAGAAGCAAAGAAAGCTTCAGTTTCTGCAAGGCTATCTTGCAGCAAAACAATCTCTGGGTGTGGTGGCGGTGGAAGCCGGTTATCTGCAAGCACGCAAAATCGTCAAATCGTTGAACATAAAAACAGCTTAAGTGAATAGATGACCTGAGCTATCCATCAATCAGATCTAACCACATCAGTCTGTGACGTTCCAGCTTTGTAGTACTGGGTGAAGTAAATATTGTGCAAGTATTGTGTTTACTGCCCTTCACATTCACTCCTGCAGAGTATATAATAAATGTGAAGGTAGGTAAACCTACAAATAGTATTTGTGCGTGATATAAAATGGAAATTAGGCAGTAATAATAATAATACTCCTTGCATTTGATATAGCGCCTTATCATGTCGCTGAGCCGCCTTAAAGCGCTTCACAGAATATATTGCAAAGTGGATTGACTGTGTATTTTGTGGGTGAAACAGTTCTCTTTAATGTTCATTTAATGTTGGAAAAAAATAATAATAATGTGGTCACTCAATCCTGCGTCTGTTTGTGGGGACACTGCTGTGCGCAATTGGCTGCCGCGTTTTGCCCACAAAATATACAGTCAATTCACTTTACAGTATATTCCATGAAGCGCTTTGAGATGTCTTGAAGATGTGATAATCCGCTATATCAAATGCAAGGATTGTTATTTATTTTAATGTTTTTCCAGCCATGTCATTTTAGGTATTATTTTGATAATTTGTCTCAGTCGAGTAATTTTACAGCACCACCCTTCACCAGGCAATGTGAATGTTAAAGCTCAAAGACAACACAACTTTTTTTTTCCTTTGCTTACTTTTCCCAACATTTCAAAATGCCCAGAAACCTGGAACTATTCCAATCTGGGAGCACAGCTTTCCATATTGTGCAGAGATCTATGAATCTGTTAAACACATTTAGTTCTTTCATCTATTGAGTGCCACTCAGCAGAACCTGTAAAATAATGCACGTCGATATTTTGTGAAGCACTGCATGAGTCACTGTACTCTAATACGTCCCATTAATCCTGTTTGGACAGCTGTGTCTGTGAATTTGTTAGCAGAATTTTAATTGTTCAATCGCTCCTTTTTCTCCTTTTCAATTCTTTTATAAATCTCTATGGTAAACGATTCAGGAATCTCATTCTCTGAAAGAGGTGGCAGGGTTTTTTTTTGCCAACGTTGTGGCTTCTTAAGTCACAGCATGTGCTGAAACGCAACCACTTCACATGCAAACTGCGTTTAATAACTGTTCAGGCCAGTCGGCGTTAGCTGTTGAAGAATAATTTGGTAGAATGAAAATTGTTAACGTCAAAACCTGACCACACGGAAATGTGATCCACTGAAATTATCAAAAGGATTTTTTTGGGGGGGACGAAAAGATCTTTGTATCAGTGGGCTTGATTAGTGTCCTGTTGGTAACACTGTCTTGTAACACACAACGTGTGAAAAATTGTTTGAAGAGCCAACACTACAGCGATTGCCAGCATCCTCAAGCCTGAAGTTTGCGAAAGTTAAGATACTGAACAGGACGAGTCTGAAGCTTGATATGGTCTGGTAATGAGTAGTTAAAGTCGCCAAAGCTTATCAGAAACAAAATGGGTGCAAAACAGAAGGAAACTATTGTAGAAACGGCTCCTCAACAGTGAGGAAGGTCCTCCCGACTTGAAAGGCGCCATCTATACAAACGTAATTTGCTGTTGAGTAAATCCATGTTTCGTTGGGATCTGAAACTTTAATTGTGAAGCAAGTAAAGCAGAGATCGTGCACATAATTACAACAGAATAGTTATGTGCTTTGCAAAGGATTTACTCTCCTTGCAGTTATTTTGTTTTAATTCATAATTGTAGTCAGCATGGTTACAGTTGTTCACTCTCCCCTTCACACACTTCTGCCTTTTGTAATGGACGTTCAAAATCAGCGGAGGTATTGCCTCACATTGAAGAAAAACGTCCACGATACATTCAGTAGGTTTGAACGAAGATAATATTCTGTGCTCTGGGAATAGTAACAATGGTAATCTTTGCATTTGTTAATAGCGCCTTTTCATTCCGTTGAGACGTCTCAAAGCGCTTCAGAATATACTGCAAAGTGAACTGACTCTGTATTTTGTGGGTGAGACGAAGCAGTCAATTGCGCACAGCAGCGTCCCCACAAACAGACTTGAATAAACCAGCCATAGAAACATGAAGGATGTTAGCCACCAGACAGCAGAAGAATGTTACTGAATTAGCTTGGTTCTCAGTCTGTCAAACGCCTTCTTCAGCACCAAGAGTAGTCTTCAACAATCATGGACACGTTCACTGTTTTTTGTTCGCAGGCTCTCCGCTGAATGACTCAGGAACTTGTAGCGTTATTTAACCACACCAATCTTTCCTCGCTCGCCTCCACTGGCTCCCCATCCCCCAGAGGATCGAATTCACGATCCTCATCCTCACCTACAAGGCCATTCACGGCCTCGCTCCCTCCTACCTCTCCAACCTACTATCCCCCACGTACCTGCCCGTACCCTCCGTTCCTCTGGCTCCGGTCTGCTCCACATCCCCTGCCCCAACCGCCCTACCATCGGTGGCCGGGCCTTCAGCCTCTCAGCCCCGAGGCTCTGGAACTCCATCCCCAGTGCCTTCGCCGCTTCCTCCCTTTCCTCCTTCAAGGCCGGTCTCAAGACCTTTCTCTTTGACCTTCAGCCTTCAGCTCTCCTCTCGACTCTCTACCCCCTCCTCGCCCCCTCCCTTCCCTCCCCTCACCGTGACCATTTCCCCCTTGCTCGGCTCCTGACCCAACTGCCCAGCGCCTTGGGACGTCCTCTTGATGTGAAAGACGTTCTATAAATGAAATCTTGTTGTTGTTGTTTCCACTGAATGAAGTATAAGATGCTTATACATCTGCGTGATGGTGCAGTTAGAACATACTGGCAGAAGTGTCCTACAAAGTCCACTCATTGGGTAAATATGGAATATGAGAACACTTCTGGTACTTGCCATGAAGTCAGCATGCCTGGCAAAATATACCTCGACTGCTTGAACCACAATTATTGCCTTCAGCAATAGGACACTCTGCTGATATACATTTAAAATAGGGGAGTGAAACAGGGCAGATACTGTATTTGCTGTCAAATGAGAACATTCATGAGTTAACTGAGTCTCATCTTGCTTCCCTGATTCTCCTCTCACTCTCCTTCCACTCCATTCTTTTATCTTTCTTTCACTCCTTGCAACCCTCGCCTCTCCCGACGAACAGAACCATTTCTTTTCTCGAGAGAATCTTGGTCTGCCTTGCATAGTACTTGTGAGCACTGCACAGCCCAGATTGGGTCTTGCTTTGCCGACATCTGCTTTTAGCACCTTGAGACATCCTGACATGAAAAGTGCTAAACAAATGTCATTGTATTCCATTGCTTTTGACCAAGGGATCTTGTGAAGAACAAGATTTCTCCTCTTAGAAAAGGAGTACGCAGCACAACCTTACTTCACAGCACATATCACTGTACCTTTGGCTGTCTCATAAGGAAAACATCAAAAAAAACTCTTTGTACTAGTTCAAAAAGATAACCTTAGAGTGTAACGATTAACATTATTACATCAATTACAAAATCATCTTGGATAATAAATCTTGCCCTTGGTGAACGCAATGTACTAACCATAAAATTATAATATGCTGTACAGTATTTATCTATCAAAGGTCATGTAAAGATTCAGCAGAGGTTTGAAAATTGTGATTAGAATATATTAAATGAATGAAGAAGATCTGAGGAAATGACTGTATTTATATATTTTGTAATTGTTTAATTTGGCTGCCGCGTTTCTCCCACAAAATATACAGTCAATTCACTTTACAGAATACTTTGTGGAGTGCTTTGAGGCGCTGTATCAAATGTAAGTATTATTATTATTATTATTTTGGAGTGCCTGACACCTACACTGACAAACACAGGTATAGTTTTATCTGTAGTAATAAAAGCTCGTCTCTTGATCAGTGAAAACTTACCTAAGGTTCTTGACATAACGGGCAATGCAGAACTAAGGACTAGGATTGACACACAATTTCCAATAATCTGTTGAAAAAGAACAAAACTCATCTCAGTCGAATATCCTTTCTTAGTCAGGCAACAAATACAATGCCTACTCTGAGACTGTTAGAACAAAAAGAGCTTTTATTATGACAGCATGCAGCACTCTTTTTACAAAGGCATTATCTTAAATCAGAACTGGAAGTCTTGATTTTTTTAAAAAAATATGTAATTATGGCAGTATATCCTCAATTTTAGGGAGGGGGTCCTTTCAATAGTGTCATCCTGGGTCAGGACTCGTCAAATGATGTAACAAGATGATCGTGTTTGACATCGAACATACACTGAGGGAAACAAAGTGGGCTTGCAGGAAAGGTTTCGCCCACCAAATATAATCAATTCACTTTACAGTGTATCCTGTGAAGCGCTTTGAGACGTCTTGAAGACGTGATAAGGCGCTGTATCAAATGCCGGGATTATTATTAGATCCTGCCAAATAGACAGCAGTGAACACCTCCTCTCAGAAAGTAAATAAAAAGCCTTTTTAGCAATTGTCTCCTTTTTCATTTTACACATCAGTGTGAACAATTTGATGAGGATTCCTAGTCAGATCAGCTGTTGGATTTTGCTATGAGGTAAAGCAAAACACCGATGTGTTTGCACTTTCATATTTAAGAACTGTGCGATTAATGTCCACCCTTCACCTAATCTACTAACAACGCCTTAAAAATGTTTTTCAATGGATAGCTTCTATTTAAAAGATAGGAAAAAAAGGATTCTAGTGATGCTCAGTCTAGCAACTGTCTTAAATCTCTAATGTATATAGACAAATGGCACCATCTGCCTCTGTGACTATTTTTGATGTTTCAGATCTCAGTGCCGTGCTTTGAAGAGCGAGTTTCTGTGGACACTCTTAAGTAAACTGAATTCTATGGCTTACACTTTAGCATTAGAGGTACAATTAGCTCAATTAAAGTTACTCATTAGCAGATGTTTCCTTTGAAGAAAAGTCCTTTCACTGGATTTCTATAGCTGGTTAACAAGCCTTTCCATCCCAAGCTATTTACAAGTGAATGGAAACCATCCAAACCAAATAGAGAACATCCTTTTTCTACACAGCTGAGTTTTATGAAAATCTTCCAGTTTGTGTTGACGCAGGATGCAAACAAATATTGATCGTTGCAAATGAGCCATTAAAGGCAATTACTGAAGAAAACGGCCAGCTGTCTGAGTGCCAGAGAGGAGCCATAATACACATCATCACCTCAGCTTACCCTACCTTAGGCATTGCTGTGTCGTCTTTCGTGGGAGTGAGGCCAGCAAAGAATCGGAGGCTATAGAAACCGACGACAGAGGACACCATCAGATAGCTGTGAGAATGAAGGGAAAGAACTTCCACAGGGTGAGGAATGCGAGCATTTCATTCCTATCCTCAGCCATCTCCTTCAGTGCCTTAAATAAAACTTGCGAAACAACAAAGAGCTCCTCTCAAGTGTCTCTGTAGTGACATGGCCCAGGCTATCACCGCTGTTTTTCTAGGTCTAACTCTTAGAAAAATACCACTGTCCCAGAAAACAGTTTATAATACTTGTTAACAGACGGCACTGGAGAGAAAAAAAGGATACAAAATCAGGATGATTTCAATCGCAGCCCCAACAAAACCAAAGGCAGACAGCGAGGCCTTGCCAAGGCCGAGTTCCTGAAAGGGGGGGAAAAAAAAGTAGTGTGAAGTTTCTCTCCCATGAAACTAACCTCTTGCAGACACACACACACAGACACACACAGACGCAGACACACACACAAACAGAGACACACACACAGAGACACACACAGCACATATTATTTACCCCACATGTGCGTGTATGCATTTTAAACCAAGGCTACTTTTTTTTCTTAACGATACAAATCTTATATTTTATAAATATGGATAACAACGGCAGGAGTTGGCGTATATTTAAAATTTGATTTAAACAACGCATCCTTCATTTTACAGGTTTTAAGAAGGTTCCCACCACAATATTCAAATCAAGGTAATGAGTTCCTACGGAAGAGATTTTTGGTTTTGTTTCAAACTTCAATACGTTTAAAAACTCCCAAGAATCTGAATATTTTTTCTTTCCTTCGAGCTCAGGATTTTAACAAATGTTCCTGACACAAACCATAGAAAAAGGATCGAGAAATATTATAATAACAAAATTAAACAGAACTTCTTAAAGAGCTGAAACTGATAATCGACCACGTCTGGTATCAAAGTCAACAACCCACTTTAAGAAAATGTTTCAAAAAACAATGTCATGACCATGTTATACAAGTTAGCTGGATAGAAAAAAAAGGCACTTAATATTTAAGAATCAACTAATCTCCAGTCTCAGTTAAGGCATGACATAATGAAATTGATGAAAAAAAGACCTCATACGTGAAATGAGGAATACAGTTCAAACAGAAAATGCAAGTTTTCACTGAGTAGCTTTGCTGAAGTTGCATTCAAAATGTTATTCCCTTGGAAATAAGCAAACGAAACGAATCCAAACCTACAAAGGTTGCTATGTGTTGGCCCGTGAACATCAAAAGCTCATCTTGGATACAGAAATTCTTGTACATTATTTTTATAGCTTACCACAACATAAGATCAGAAAGTTCACAGATCACAAAGTTATGATTAAAGTCAGATCAGTAGTTTTTTTACATTAATTACATGAGTCCATTTTGCCAAAAGGTTGATCTGATTTGGGGGGGTGGGAGCAGTAGGGTGGGGTGGGATGGTGCCAAGTAGCTTGTGAAATGAATATCTCCTACAAAGAGAAACAGCCAAAGCCATCAAAATGAATCCATTACATTAAAATGATATGGTTACCCCTTTAAGCACTACATTGCTACCGTGGCTTTAATGAAAGTGTGAAAGATTATCAGGCTGAGACTGTAGGAGGCTTTCCCAAAACTCGATCAGGGTCGTGAAAAACATTTATTCGTCCTTTCCACCTAAGCCAGATGCGTCTACAGCACTTGAAGGCCCTGCTAATGACAGAGCAACAAGCCTGGCTTCAGCGTGTGTGACTGGGGGGTGGTGATGGGGGGGGGAACTAGTGACAAGGAGGAGAGATTCTTCCCAATCAGTTTCTGGCAGGGCAGTCCTAACTGCACCAACAGCAAGACGTTTCCCAGACAGTGACAATTGTAAACTTGGCAGTTTTTAGCTGGTTAAACTCCAGCAATACCCCAATGGTCGTGGAGTCCTGTAGCTCAGGGGTTAGAGCACTCGCCTCGCAAGTGAGAGGACCCGGGTTCGATTCCCGGGCAGGACAAAACATTGGGTAAGTTTCCTTACTCCACACACACGCCTCCGTTTACCAGCAGTAAGTAGGAACCTGGTTGTTAGTCGATTGGCGGATCGCTTTTCCGGGGGTAATCATCCCTTCAATATAAATAATTGGGTCACTCAATCCACGACTGTTTGTGGGGACGCTGCTGTGCACAATTGGCTGCTGAGTTTCACCCACAAAAATATAGTCAATTCACTTTACAGTGTATCCTGTGAAGCGCTTTGAGACGTTTCGAAGACCTGATAAGGTGCCGTATCAAATGCAAGCATTATAGTGATGGGTTTCATCATGAAAGTGTGTCCCAGATGAGTCAGCAGCTTCAGAGGTGGAGGGGAAAGTATTAAGGTGGGTGGGGGCAAGTGACGAAAAGACAAAGTAAATTAATGAATAAAATAACAAAACTACAAAGGGGACACATCAACATTCACAATCATCGTATTATAATAATCCTTACATTTGATATAGCGCCTTATCAAGTTGTGGAGACGTCTCAAAGCGCTTTACAGATTATACTGTAAAGTGAATTGATTGTGTATTTTGTGGGTGAAATATGATCAACGGCAGTTTTTTTTGGAGGAGATAGGTGGAAGAGATTAAAAAGGAATAGTTATAGATGAAAGCTGGAATGAATATGTGGAAATATTTACTGGGAACCTGCTGTGAACTGCGGTGGCTATTTACTACTTCAGGAACAAAAAGAGGTATTTACACCTTGCAATACATCACAGCAACAAATTCAATACACTTCATGCTGCAACAACCACCAAAAGAAGCTGCAGAGTAAGATCTTATAGAACTGTTTTGATGCCTGTGCATGACTGCGCAAAGTTTATTATCAGAAAACATTTGGCGTTCAATAGAGTCTGTATTTTGATCAGCTGTAATTTTGCATTTCTCAAATCCCTTTTATGTTTCTATACAGTACGCTTCAACTCACTTCACTTTACAGTATATTCTAAAAACAGATGAAGTGTTAATCTACCTTTTTAAAATCACGTACCGTTTTGTGTGTCGGGGGGGGGGGGGGCGGCCGTGAAGAATAGCACAAAGAAAAATTAAGGTCAGGGAACTGTTGAGGCAAAAGGCAAATCTCTCAAGATTTAACGGCACTTTTTGGGGATTGGAATGACGAGTCAAGATGTTTTGTGGCAAACTAATTCTTCACAAAGATCAGAGAATCCACACATTTCAGCAGTCGTTTAATATAAGGGAGGAGGGGGAGTGAGAGCCCACGTGTTTCTTGAAGCACCTTTAACTTTGGAACAGAATTGTTAGGGCTGATGAATAGATAGCATTCCTTTATGTAACACTGCAGTACAATTCTTTTGACTGGCGTTTACCTACAATTCCTTGAACTTTGCAAGAATGCTTAACTACGTGGAAAAGAATGTTGTGTAGATTAAACTTCTAAGACTCGCTTAAATACAGTAGTCCCAGTGAATGTAAACACTACCGAACAATGGGTACCAAGGTGTGAATGATAAAGCTGGAACTTAATCAAGAGTTGAAGGGAACCACACAAAGTTCAAGGACTGGCCAGTTTCGGGGCATTAATGTAGTGGGCAGAAAGCCAGCCAGTCTAAACCACAAGCCAGAAGTCATCATACAATTTGACAGCACAGAAGGAGGCCATTCGGCCCATCGTGCCTGTGCCCGCTCTTTGATAGAGCTACCAACTAGTCCCACTCCCCCAGTCTTACCCCATATCTTTGCAATTTTTTCCTTTTCAAGTACTTATCCAATTCCCTTTCGAAAGCTACCATCAAATCTGTTTCCAGACTGTAACAACTCTCTGGGTAAAAAATTATCCTAGTCTCCCCTCTAGGTTCTTTTACCAATTATCTTAAATCTGTGTCCTCTGGTTACCGACCCACCTATCCGCCAGAAGAAAGTTTCTCCCTATCTACTCTATCAAAACCCCTAGTCTTGTCAGATAGCTAAAGTCCCTCATCCCTGGTACCAATCTGGTAAATCTCCCCTGTTCCCTCTCCAAGGACCTGACATACTTCCTGGAGTGTGCTGCCCAGATTTGGACACAAGGCTCCAGCTGAGGCCTAACCAGTGATTTCTAAAGGTTTAGCAGACGTTCCACAACTTAACTGTGATGTTGGCAGCAACCCACTGCCCCACAAGCAGGACCAGGGGCCACATGTTTTTGCAGACTCCATGATAACACTGTGTCTAATTTTATGGACCTAAAGTGATGCACAAATACAATACTTCCATTTTACACAGCCCAGTTTCAAAGGAGACTGTGGGACAAAGCATTACCTGTGATCCTTTTGGCATTGCAGTTTCATCGAGCAGCAAAGCCAGTATATTGAAAGTAACCAACAGGACAGAGATGGTCTGCAAAACATTTTCAGATGTTACACAGTGAGTAACTTTGATAAATCTCACCCCTCCATGGACAATTTAGAACAAAACAAAAGCACAACTTACAACATATTGACAAGTTACATGTATATTTGGCAACAGGGATAAAATGTGAGCTTTAATTATCTGCAATTCAAATTGGTGGAGAGCGAGCGAGTTACAGGCTGATTGATGCATCGCTTCGCTAAGCTGATGTTGAAGACAAGATGGGGCCTTGTGACTTTCTTTTATGTTGATAGTTTCTACTAATAGCGGTTAACATCAATTAATCTTGGCCAGCTAGCAATAAGTGAAGTAGTAACAAGCGCTCTGAGACTCTGCCCTGGGTGAGGGACGCGATACAAATGGAAGTCGTCGTTGATTTTATAATTCCTTTTTTTTTCTTATTTTAAAAATAAAATAAAAAGGGAACAACTGAAACCATAAAATAATTCCGTAGGGATTGTAGAGACCAGAAACATCCCGACTGCGTTCAACAGCACCTCACAAGGTTGGAGGCAAGGAACTGAATCCTCATCCTATCTGCCACCAGGGCTCTGACCAGAACAGTGACTTTTAAAACTTCAAAAAGCCACTCTTGACACAAAGCTCAATCGATCTTAGTTTTAAATGGGATGTGTCCTCCTAACTTGAACGGCACGATAAGAATGTAATTTGTTGTTCTTAAATGACTATTCGGCGCTCAACAAACTTTGGAAAGGACGACATTTTCTGCGATAATGCAAGATTTGTGTAAGGAAGTTCCCAAATTATCATACGTTGTCGTCGACAGCCACATTCCCACAAGCTGAGGTCATGAAATGCTCACCGTGCCAGACAGCAGGATTAACATGACAACGGGATAGACCAAATTTCTTTCCCACGCAGAGGCATTCTTTCGCCGCTCTGAAAGAAGAAATAAAGGTATAAAATTGGATGAATTAAGACTCTTCTCGAGACTTCTGAGAGATGAAAAGAGCCGAGTGTGAACCACTAAAGCATCAAAAGTAGATGCGATGGCTCGTTCAGGTGCTCCTCCAAGCGCTATTATAAGTTGACACTGAATACCTTCAAAAGAAAGACAGTGGTCTTCCTCTTTCATCAAAGTCTGTCCCAGCGACACTTACACTTTCCTGCAAACGGTTTTGCAAGTTAATGACCCCCACCGGTCCTTTCCCCCCTCCCCTCCAGGCTTCCACCTGTCCCTCCCTCCACACTCTTAACCCAGTCCCTTCTTCATCCCTCTCATTTCCTGGATCAAACTTGTTCCTCAACCCCATCTTTACCCCTCTCTACCTGACCTTCCAGCTCCAACTCCTTGGCCCCAAGCTAACGGGCATTATAAACCTATCTCCATCCACTAGCGTTGTTTTTACCCCTTTCAAAACAACATCAATATTTGGTCACTCAGTCCCCAACTGTTTGTGGGACACTGCTCTGCGCAATTGGCTGCCGCGACAAACTCTATCTGTCCAGCGCCTTGGGACGTCCTCCCGACGTGAAAGATGGTTTACAAATGTCATTTTGTTGATGTTTTGTCATTGCAAGCTTTGCCTGCATGGCCCCTCCAGTCTGGCTTCCACCCTGCCCACAGCACTGAGACTGCCCACAGCCCTGAGACTGCCCACAGCACTGCCCACAGCACTGAGACTGCCCACAGCACTGCCCACAGCACTGAGACTGCCCACAGCCCTGAAACTGCCCACAGCCCTGAAACTGCCCACAGCCCTGAGACTGCCCACAGCACTGAGACTGCCCACAGCCCTGAAACTGCCCACAGTCCTGAGACTGCCCACAGCACTGCCCACTGCCCACAGCCCTGAGACTGCCCACAGCACTGCCCACAGCCCTGAGACTGCCCACAGCCCTGAGACTGCCCACAGCACTGCCCACAGCCCTGAGACTGCCCACAGCACTGAGACTGCCCACAGCACTGAGACTGCCCACAGCCCTGAAACTGCCCACAGCCCTGAAACTGCCCACAGCCCTGAAACTGCCCACAGCCCTGAGACTGCCCACAGCCCTGAGACTGCCCACGGCACTGCCCACAGCCCTGAGACTGCCCACAGCACTGAGACTGCCCACAGCCCTGAGACTGCCCACAGCCCTGAGACTGCCCACAGCCCTGAAACTGCCCAAAGCCCTGAGACTGCCCACAGCCCTAAGACTGCCCACAGCCCTGAGACTGTCCACAGCCCTGAGACTGCCCACAGCACTGCCCACAGCCCTGAGACTGCCCACAGCCCTGAGACTGCCCACAGCCCTGAGACTGCCCACAGCCCTGAGACTGCCCACAGCCCTGAGACTGCCCACAGCCCTGAGACTGCCCACAGCCCTGAGACTGCCCACAGCCCTGAGACTGCCCACAGCCCTGAGACTGCCCACAGCACTGCCCACAGCCCTGAGACTGCCCTGCTGATGGTGAAAGTCACTAATAACATTATCGTCATCTGTGCAGGTTATTCCTGCCTCCTCCTCCTTCTGGATCTATCTGCCGCCTTTGACACTCTTGATCACACTGCCTTCTCTACCGCCTCTCCTCTCAGCTCCACCTCCATGCTCTGTCCTCTCCTGGCTCCATTCTCATCTACCCCAACATCTTCAATCCATCTCTTTCAACAGCTTCTCCTCCCACCCCACACCGTCACGTGCTCTATCCCTGGTTCGCTCCTGTTTAATATCTACAGGCTCCCGCTTTCCAATGTCATCTGCCATCATAGGCTTAGCTTTCACATGAATGCGGATGTATCGTTCTGCCTCCACCCTCGATTCCAGCAACACTGCTGTTTGACTGATTGCCTGTCAGACATCCAAGTCCTGAGCTCTAACTTTCTGGAGCTGAATGTTGACAAGACAGGCTCTCTCTCTCTCCTGTTTGGCTCCCGTCAGCACCTTCTCACTCAGCCACTGCCAGCATCAATCCACGCAGTTGCACACTCACCTCACGGAGCCAATCCAGAAATTAGATGTCTTGTTCGACTCCAAACTGTTCTTTACACCTCACATTTGCACTCTGACCCACTCAGCTTTCCTTCCCATCACCGCAACATTACCCACCTCCGTCACTACTTCTCCCTCTGGACTGTCAGGACCCTAATCCACACGTTCATCATGTCACTTTAAAGACCTGAATCAGGTTTCCCCAATATTCTTTTCCACACTAAAAAGCTGTTCAGCTCCAGAAGTAGGTCTTCCTCATAATTCTTCCTGTCAACTGTGCCAGTTTCTAGATGTATTCCGCCCTCCACCACCTGTACTATGTCACCCCAGAGATGCCAGGAATGACTTCATTTGTCTCTCAAGTCTCTAATTTTCCAACCAACTTGCTTGTCCATCCAGGATTATAGCAATACTAACTTGTTACAGATAAGAACACACTCGTTAAGCTCAAGCAGCTTAGTTTCTTGTAGATTTTTACACTTTCGCATATGACTCTAAATGTTGCTGCAACTGTGTACATTCGGGTACAAAACTCTGGGCTTGTCCAACTGCACCCCCTTCCTGCTGTTGCATACGTTTGAATGTGTACATTGTGCATTTGCTGTATTGTAATCTCTTTCTAAGCTCAAAATGCCTTCTTTCAAGTACACGTTTCCTCTGAATCAAGAAAGAATTTCAGACCAGATCTCTATTTGGAGTTCTGCCAATGGCAAGTGAATGAATGCCTTCGAGTCAGATTGGTCTTGGCAGTTGTTATAGGATGCGTTTGAGAATTTGGTATCATTATTTTTGAGGCTGACAATTCCTTGACTTGCCCTAACCCTAACAATGCCTTTTACTTTTATTCTTACTTTACTTTTGTTCTCATTGGATTATGTGCTACTTTCATTCCCTTCATGACAGGCATCACAAACAACAGTAAATTTGTATAACGCCTTTCATGTCAGGAGGCCTTGTGTCCCAAGGCGCTGGACAGTCAGGGATTTAGACCTGAGCAGGGGGTTAGGATCAGGAGGGGTGGAGGGCAGGGAGAGTAGGGATAGGAGAGTGACCGAAGACATGGTTGAAGACATGGGTCTTGAGATGGGCTTAAAGGAGGCAGGGGAGGGGACGAGGTGGAGGGACTGTGGGATGGAGTTCCAAAGGGTGAGGGCAGAAAGGCTGAAGGTGGGGCAGGCCGGACCTTCAACAATGCCTTGTTTCAGAATAATTCTCAATCGAATTTTTCCAAAACACTCACACACACACACAATGCTTCAATAAAGTTTCAACAAGCTGTAGAATTACTAATTCAGTTCCGGGCTCTATAAATACAAATGTAAAATTCACTGTTAAGTTTCTTTTTAAAATACTTTTGAGTTCAAAGATAAATAATTAAGGAACCAGGAGAAAGCTTTGAGACACACAAGATTTGCATATGCAGTTGAAACGCATGAAAAATTAATTTACAGTAAGTTCATACCCAGCTTCGACTTTACACCCCTCACACCATCCAATTCCTGTTCGAGCTCCTCTGGATTGTATTCGAAATAGGAAGTAATGTATGTTCCTGGGGGGAAAAAGGAGCAGGAAAAGTCTCAAGTTTATCCATCAGGGTGTGAACAAAGGTGGACCATCAGTTATACAATGGGACCATTGTTATTATTATTATTATTAATGTTACTCCTGCCTAAGTTATCAACTATCCCAACTGTACCCCGTGCTGCACTGAACCAGCCTCCCAGCTTAGAGATGTGATCAGATCAAGGAGAGAGTCGGGAAAGCAAGCAAAGCTTTGGAAGTGACACAACACAAATAACTGTTGGGATTAACCATTGGCGTCAGATTACTTTTTGTAAAAAAAAGAGGGGATCTCCTAATTGCTTTCAGAAAGATAAGACATCTCAAAATTTTAGTCACAAAAATCCATCCAAGCACACCCTTATTACTGGTAAATAAAAAATAATATAATAATAATGGAAGCAGACAGCCATTGCTGGCCAGGGACATAAACACTGCAATGTCGACACGTATTGGATTCAGAACTGCCTAACTTCCAGCGCCTTGGGACGTCCTCCCGACGTGAAAGACGCTATACAAATGTAATTTTGTTGTTGTTGTTATTGTTGTACTCTATAAGCATAATAACCTTCATCTGCTTCAAAAAAATATCAATCATTTCCCAGCCTGCTCACCACATGAATGTCAGGAGTGCAGTCAACCAACCCAAATCTGTAGACCTCGCTTGCTGGGGCTTGTTCAGATATTTATTGTGGGCTTGCAATTGAAACCACGGTACAGCTCATTTAAAGTCACTTAACAGTTTAATTTTGTTATCTTTCCAGTTCTGAGACATAGATTCAGTTGCTCAAAGAAAAGCATCGGAGTGGCTAGATTGCTGATACTAACCCCAGGCAGATCAACTGGCAGATCAACACCAATTAGTTCACTCCTAACACTGTAACTGGCATCAAATACAACAACCTTTCATCTACATTGAATAGGTAATGAAAATTAAATGTCTTTGATCAAATAAGTGTTTTTGATCCCACCACACCCAGTGCCTCTTGAACTTGAGAACTAATAGCTGTAGGCAAAAAAGTAGACGTCTATCATCCAGGATAAGTCACATTATATTCAACATATTGAACATACGTAGAAATCACCACAAATGCGATGTAAAAATATGTCAAATTATCAAAGCAAATAGCAGAACAAGTCACCACTGTACACGCATTGTTCTAGGTGAATAGAGAAGATCATAACTACTTTTTTTCATTATAGTAGTTTTCCTGTTATTTCCCTTTGCCTCCTCCCCCAGTTTAGCTCCTCACTCATCTTAATCCATCATCCAGTAACAGGAAGTAGGTGTGATGGACAGTGGCACACACTATAATTTCGGTCATAATGCTCAGTTTAAGGAGGGAGGGAGAGTATTGCTCATCATAACCTAAGATGGACACAGTCAGGCCCTTCTTTACCTCCCACAATGTGATCAGGATACACAAACACAGTCTTCTGAGTTGAGACATGGCTAAGAGTCAACCCTCTGTCAACAGTGGTTAAGAAACTGGTATACAGGTGCCCTGTAGCTCAGGGGTTAGAGCACTCGCCTTGCAAGCGAAAGACCTGGGTTCGATTCCCGGCAGGGCAAAATGTTGGGCAAGTTTCCTTACTCCCTACGCCTGTTTGCCAGCAGTCAGTAGGAACCCGGTTGTTAGTCGATGGGCGGATCGTTTTTCTGGAGTAATGATTACTTTAAAAAACAATTGGTCACTTCAATCCACAGCTGTTTGTGAGACGCTGCTGTGTGCAAGTGGCTACCGTGTTTCGCCCACAAAATGTATAATTCACTTTCAGTGCATTCCCTGAAGCGCCTTGAAGACGTAATAAGGAGCTATATCAAAAGCAAGGCTTATTATTATTATTATCCATCAGGTGCCGACAGACCAGTTTCTTGACCAATGTTGATAAGAGAGTTGACTCTTAGCCATGTATGTAAATATTCCAATCAAATAAAACAAGTTCAGAAATGAAGCTATTCATCAGGCAAGTTTATTTGCTAGGAACATGAGTTATGTCAACCACTGTCATTTAATTATTTGTTTTTTTAATTTTTTTGGTTAGAAGATTGCCACCTGGAATAATAATAATAATAATAATCCTTGCATTTGATATAGCGCTTTTGATGTCAGGAGGACATCCCAAAGCGCTTCACAGAACACACTGTAAAGTGAATTGACTGTATATTTGTGGGCGAACGCGGCAGCCAATTGCGCACAGCAATGTCCCACAAACAGTCGTATAATGAAAATGACCAATTTATTATTGGTTTTGGTTTTGGAGGATTATTATTAGGCTCTGTGTGGAGTAAGGAAACTTGCCCAAGGTTTGGCCCTCTGCCTGGGATTGAACTCAGGTCTCTCACTTGCAAAGCGAGTGCTCTAACCACTGAGCTACAGGACTCCACGCCATGACAGGATGTCATCTCTTTCCAATAATGGATAACCAACACCTTCCTGGAACACCAAGCAATCCGGGAAGCTATCCCGCTTGAAGGGCACTATATAAATGCAAGTTGTTGTTGTTGTATATCTTTCCCAGGAGGGGTGAAGAAACTTAATATAGATTAATACTTAATACTTGAGCTAATTGAATGGCTCAACATTACGCCCATAATGAATAAAAGGCTTTTTTGCCGAGGCTTCCTGACCCAGATATTGGTAAAAGAAGACAACGTTCGTCATTCAATCAATGACTTTTTGTGAGTCATCGTATTATAGGTTTAAAAAAAAGTGCTGAAATATTATACAGCATATTCAGTAGGATCTGTCCCTATACCCCAAGCAGTTAAAATATAAATTAGTCACATGGAGTTGCAGCCAAATAACATATCGCAACCTGTTCATTTTTTTCCTCAAATCATTTATAGCACTAACAAATTGCGGCGGTAATTTAAATTATAGATCTCTTGCAACCTTGAGAGATACACATGGGAGCAAAAATCAACTGCATCAATTAATAAAGGGAGTGATAGAAATTGATTTTGCATTTCGGTCTTTTTTTTTTTATTTTGGCCCTGGAATTTTGTAACCATTAATTCCCTCAGAAAGTCTAAATGTTTCTCACATAAATCATATTGCTACTGAAAAGTGAGAGCTCGGTGCAGTTTATCATCTGAATGATTCATCGAGGCTTTCAATCCATCTTCTCCATCAACCTTATTCAGCTGCCATCTGTGGGCGGGCGGGCAGGGGGGCGGGGGGCTGGGAAAGAGAGAAAGATTACGTCTGTGCCACCTACCATTTATCCTTCTCATAAGTGCTTCCTCCTGCAGGCTGACACAGTACATTTGCTCATCCAAATCCTCGAGAATCTACAGATTTAATCAACGGAAAACAATTCAGCAAAAGAAATGCGCAACAATAGCTGAAATTTGTAGGTGTTTTTACACTTAAATCCAGTTACGTTTTTAATACTGATATATAAAGGATTAGTATTCCACATTTTCCTTCAACAAGCCAGTCGCTGGTATTTTACAATTGGGCACAGCAATCTAGGAAATCAGAGGAACAGTTTTCATCGCAGGAGGGAAAATGTACTGAGAAGTTTCAGGATAAAAGAAAAACCTGCATCGTGTTATATATCGCAAGGACTGTTTAAGTTCAGACAAAACATTGTTGTAGTGTGCTCTTTCTCTGAACCAGTGCCTTCCGGACACCTGCAACAAAGAGTCTTTGGACTCTGCAAGGTTCTCTTCCCAAGTCATCAGTAAAGCATACTGTCTATAATCAGACTGGAAGACAGACTTGCATTAGTTGATAGAGAGGGCAATGTGCTTGCTATGTCAGCATCCTAATATATAATTCATTGCTGCTTCACAGTAGGCAATTCAGTGTTGCTCAGCAAAGTGTCATAATTGTTCATCCTAGGTTACAAAGTTAATTATCTCATAACAGCTTCCCATCTGAAATGGCAGCCACACTGATGACATTGTAATAGGATATCTACTCGAAAAGATGAAAATTAATTTCAATCATTCTGGAAGTCACCCAAGAAGTCGTTTTTTTTGGGGGGGGGGGGGTGGGGGGGGCTTTCAAATTTCCTAATTTCTCAAACATTAACAAGCCTTCCATTTTTTACGCTCCTTATTTAGGTCAATCACGCATAATTGTCAGATTTGAAGCATTTCAGTTAACTATTAAAAGTGACCGTGTTTTTTTTTTAGAAAACCAATATGTATTTAATGATCAACAGTCCCAAAGTACCATTGTGGCTTTAAAGTTGGAAACACACGCACATAGCAAGGTCTCTCAGCTCACACGGAATCAGATTCCTAGGAATATATTTCCCTAGGAATGGTATAATAATAATAATTCTTGCATTTGATACAGAGCCTTAGCACATCTTCGAGATGTCTCAAAGCGCTTCACAGAATACGCTGTAGAGTGAATTGACTGTATATTGTGTGGGCAAAACGCGGCAGCCAATTGCGCACAGCAGCGTCCCATAAACAGTCGTGGATGAATGACCAAATTATTATTATTTTTTGAGAAGGGATTATTACCCTCGGAAAAAGGATAATATGATGGATCAAGAAGGTTCCAGTGGCACCCATGGAGATTGGGTTCCTCTTGAGTGAGGTGAGAACAAAAGAATAATAACGAACATTTTAAACGTTTAAAGATTGTCAGTGGAGTCAGTTTCCCCTTCTTGAGAGAGTAGGAGACCGGCTCTAAGGGTTTGTGCCGGGGAAGCAGAGTAGATACAAGCTGGAAGTTAAAAGCAACACATCAGGAGACTCCCTGGTGTGTCAGTGAGTTTATTTAGTGCGTACATACATGAACCACACAGATTTAAGGTCCCGGGTTCAATCTCCGGTCTGTGCTGTTGGAAGTTATTTTGGAAGCAAAATGGGATCATAGAATCATAGAATTGTACAGCACAGGAGGCCATTCGGCCCATCGTGTCTGTGCCGGCTGTTTGAAAAGAGCTTCCAAATCAACCCCACTTCCCCGCTTTCTCCCCATAGCCCTGCAAACTTGTCTTCCCAAATGTACAAGATTATAGGGAATGTATGTGTAGAGAGAAGATGAGGAGTTCAGATGATACCATCCCACTACTCATTACCCCACTACTTGGGATTTTACTGATTATTTTCCATTTTGCAATATGTATTCCCTAATGGTTAGTTTTTCAACCCTATAGTCTTTGTTCGTCTTCAAAAATAATAATAATAATTTGGTCACTCAATCCACGGCTGTTTGCGGGGACGCTGCTGTGTGCAATTGGCTGCCGCGTTCGGCCCACAAAATACAGCCAATTCACTTTACAGTGTATTCTGTGAAATGCTTTGAGACGTTTCGAAGACATGATAAGGCACTATATTAAATACAAAGATTATTATTATTATTAATATAGTAGGGATATCACAGGGTGTAGGTATTGATCAATAGTGATCTCAGATCATCCACCAATTTCCTGCATATTTAGCCAATTTACAGAAGTCAGCTGGCTTTTTTTTTGGTCAGCTGGGTGTCTGATACCTGTGGAAACCCATGGCTGTGCTTAAAGAGTATCCAAACCAAACTTTCATTTCAGAACGTCTCAGAGCCCTTGACACAACAGACAGGGAGATCCCAAGTTGTGTGTGTGGGGGGGGAGGAGGAGGAGGAAGGAAAGAGAGGAGCTAAGAAGGGGAGGAGAAAGGTGACCAAAAGCACAGTTGAAAAGATGGATCTTAAGATGGGTTTTGGAGAGAGTTGCGGAGAGATTCTACGATGGAGTTGAAGAGGTTGGACACAGAGCAGAGGAAAGCTCGCCCACCGCTGGTGAGATGGATTGGGTGGGGGATATGAGGCAGGTACAACAGGAGGTGGCAATGGATGGTAAGGGTGAGGCAAAGAGACAATGTGAAGGAAGGCATGTGAAAGAGAGGCCAAGAATCTTCAATATAATCCTCTGAGGAAAGAGGTGTGTAAGAGGATGCGGGTGGCAGATTTCTGGATGGTTTGCAGTTCGTGTCGGAGCCCTGCGAGCTGGGCGGAGGGAGTAACTGAGTCTGGAGTTAATGGACTGAGGTTGCACATCAGCTCCACGAGTTGGGACTGAGCATCCAAGCAGGTCAATGCAGTCAACACCTATTGTGAGTAGAGTAGTGACTAGAGCAAAAGCAAACGAGCCTCAGCCCCGTCGACACTGAGCTACAGTCATCTGGGAATTGACGTCAAAGCAACCCAATGCGACCCGACCTGCATACAAAGGCTAGAGATAATAACTTAGAAAAACCTACAGGGAAATCACAAACCAGTGACCTGAGACACATCCCCACAGGAAGACGGCAGTGTGGGGCTACATCACAAACCGTGCATCAGTTTGGAAAGAGGGAAAGCAGGGAAGCAGCATGCTGCGCGCTCAGATCCATCACTTAGAGATGCACCACATCCCCTTCCCGTTCGGAAAGGCACTCAGGGCTAATAAAGGCTGAACAGAAATCTCAACTCTACGAGGGAACAAATGGAACGGCCGCTATTTTTCAGGCCTGAGCAAAAGCACTTTGAGGGGAGAGAGAGAGAGAGAGAGAGAGAGAGGTAAAGCAGGGAAATTGCTGGCAAGGCAACTAAAACAGGCAAAAGCGGTGGCAGCAATCTGAGCGATTAGCAACAGGGCAGGTCTATTAAAATTAATCAGGAATTCAGTGAATTTTATAGGCTTCTGCACCAATCAAAACCTGTGCAGGGGTTCGGTAGATTGTTTGCAGGTCTGAAAATATGACTATGACGAGGAAGCACTTTAAACAGAAAATACTCGTGTAGACATTCCTTCCTCTTTAAAGAGGCCACGTAAAATCTCCTCTGAAGCGGTTCATTTTTGTAGCTTCGAATTTTAACCAGAAACTTACGGAAAACAAACTGTACTGACTCACCGCAGTGTCATTCTCACTATCCACAGCAGAATGGTTTAATCCACGACAGAACAAAGATCTGAACAATCTTAGCAATCTTGTGCTGTTGCACAGAACAAAGATCCATGATACCATTCGAAAATAGAAGAGTTTCTCCTTGTTTTCCTGGTCGATATTCCCTCCACATAAAACTGAACAGTAAACAGGTTGTGGATCGCGTGAATAACACAAGTAGATGAGGTTGTGCAACACAAATCATAGAATATTACGGCACAGAAGGAGGCCATCCTGTTGTTCCACAAGTAATAGCAAAGATTGTTAATATTGTTCATTTTCGTGACCCACAACCTTACCTATTTTTGTACTTTTTTTTCTGGATAACTGGATTTATATGCTTTGGCATCAAAAAGTAGGGGTCCATCACCGCCCTGCCTTATAAGCAAGACAGTGCTATAGAGAATGATATGCGAATGGCAGTGAATGGCGCTATGATAGGAGTTTTCTGTATATGCATTTAACGCCAGACCCGGAGAGATGGTTAGGATGGTGGACATGTCCAAGAAACATCTCGACAGTGGGGTAAGTGTTTGGGAAGAACCGATCAGATCACATGGTCCAAAGGGCTTTCTTACTACACATCTCTCTTGTGAGTTCATGAACAGAGGCGGGGATATGGATGTTCGAGACGGGAAGTGTGAAAGTTTCGCACCCCCTCGTCTCCCGGTTTGTTCTACGGATTCTTGGCATGCGAGAAGATGAAGCAAAGGGCAGAAAGACTGCTAACTGGAATTAAGCATCTGAGTTACGAGAGGCTGGGGATGTTTAGGGGAGATCTTAGTGAAGATATTTGAGATCCTAAAGGGTATAGATCAATATACCCTTAATAATACGTTCAGCACTGTCACCTTGTACAACAAGGAGGTATAGATTCGGTGTTAGGAAGATGGAAAGTAACAGCCAATGCAGACTGAATTATTTTACAAAACAAAATTCACTGCCCAGGAAAGCTCTGAAACCAGATTGTGTCAGCAAATTCAAGAGGGAATTAAGATAAGAGTCTTTTTGGAAAGAAATTGCTCAAGGGGTATGAGAAGTGGAATAGAATGGGATTTTTTAAAAAAACTTTTGAACCAGGCAGAAGGACTGCAATATCCGGTACATTTTAATGGCCATTAAAAAAAACTCACCTCTGGTCACAACAGCCAAAGTGCTGATAACTTACCGTAGGTTTTACCAGCAACTGTCCCATCACTGTGAACATTGTGGAGAGTCCGACTGGTGTACACACTAGAGAGAGAAAAAAAAATCAAAGGCTATTATTATTTATATATATTTTTTGAAAAGATTATTACCCCCGGAAAAGCGATCAGAAGCAAATTGACTAACAACCGGGTTCCTACTTGCTGCTGGGTAAACAGAGGCGCGCGTGTGTGTGTGTGTGTCTGGAGTAAGGAAACTTGCCCAATGTTTCGCCCCGACCTGCCCGGGAATCGAACCCGGGTCCCCTCGCTTGAGGAGGCTCTGAGTAAATCGGTTTGTACTGGTGTGGAGCTGGCTCAATTAAAACCTATTGCACTTTCCTTTTATACCCTTTCCTGCTACCTCCTCCCATCTGAAGTCTTCTCTCCTGCATTCTTCTTCTTTATTATTATTAATAATATTATTATTATTCTCCCACAGCCTCAGAGTTCGCTTGCCTAAAATTCACTCTTCTTTATGGGTTTCCTTCAACTTTCTTCCCGCATTTCTTCTCAGAAGATTTAACAACGTTTTGGTCCCTAGACCCCAGATGTTCCTTCAGGTCTACTTTATTAATCAGCCACTGATCGTTAGTTAAAGCCAGATCTAGTGCTGTATTTTCCTGGTTAGTTTCCTACTTTTAGTAAGAAATCTTGCACAATCTCAGCAAATGCTTTCACGAGCAGAGTGTCCTAAATGTGATGATTGATACGACAATTTTTTTTAAAAAAAAGCCCGATTCTTTGAAAATTCCTCAACCACAACATCAAAAGATATTAATAGACCTGAAGGTGTACAAAATGGTACCCCAAAGCCCCAGGTCTGGGGAGCACAAAAAAATGCAGGAAACTCTAGGTAAAGAGGGAACACTCATAAAATTATTGCCAAGATACAAATGAATTAAGACAAATCCGATTCGCCAACAATTTACAATGATAGAGCACCTTTCACGACAGAAGGACGTCGCAAAGAGCTTCACACAGTTGACTGGAACACAATTGAAACAACAACAAGAGATGGGTCTTGAGGCAGATTTTGAAGGCAGAGTGAGAGGGACAAGGCAGAGGCACTCAAGGTTGAAGTTCCAGAGAGAGACAGAGAGAGAGAGAGATACAGCAGGAGAGTTGCATTGCAGAAGGTCGCACGGGTAAAGTGGGAGCAATTCAATCATTTAATCTCTAAAGAGGAAATGCACATCACATACAAATGAATGGACATTTCCGCTGAGGAATTCAAATTTTTGGGGGGGATCCTCTTGAAAACTAAATAGCTCGGTTCAAGAAACCATTTTAAACGTAATCCAAAACGTCAACGTGAAACCAAGTAAGATTCTAACATGTCAGATTGCAATGTTTTTTTTGCTATAAAACACAGCCTTGTGAAATTAGAAGCTTCTTCCCTTGATCTAATTCACTCTGTTTAGTACTGTTTACATCTCACTCACTGACTACTTCACCAGCATGATTCAAAGGCTCAACAGCAACAAGACCAGGGAACAGAGGCTGTATATGAACCACAGCATTAGAAAATACATTGAAACCTTTTTGTGGTTCAGAAATATATGTCTATGTGGAACATCTTCACAATAATTCACACCGAACAGAAATAATAAGTTTCGTATTTTTGTCCACAAAGTACACAGTGCATCCACTTTACAGTATATTCTGTGCAGCGCTTTGAGACGTTTCAATTTCAAGTGATGAGGCCCTATGTCAAATGCAAGGATTATTATTATTACATATTTATACAATTTTCTCCATATAAAATCCTTCATTTTGCTTCTCTATTCAGACACACGTTCCAAGTTGTTAACAGTGCCTATGTGCGGGTGGGGGTGGGGGCTGAGTTATTTGAGCGATGTTTTTTTTTTAGGCTGACAACACTTTTTTGCTCCCTCAACCCCAGTCTGCATTCTGATCATCTTGGCCTTTACATGGAAGGAAGGAAACAGTCAACATCAGGTCAACTCATGTAATATTCATTTAAAATATTACATTATGAAGACTACTGGGATTTCGTCTGGCACTATACAGTAGATGGGTCGAAATGACTAAACATCAATCCGATATCACGTGCGCATGAGCAGAGCTCTGATTATTACAGTCAATGAAGACCATCTTCCTGGGGAGTAAGCTTAGAAATGCTTATGATTTCTTTATTCCCATCGCATCCGGCAGTTTAAATTCTTCGCATGTACATTGACCTCTATCTACGCAGACCTGCACAACTGGATCTTGTTTCGACCGAGCCGCAGTCCGCTCCGGCGATCCAAAAACCGAACCCCCCACAAAAAATTGCTAAATCATTTTAAAAGAGCGAAGTAAAACCATCGTGATTGTGGAAAGTATTTTAGGACAGTCTTTGACTCCTCTGAAGGAGCGGGCAGTCCGAGTGCTGACAGGCCAGGCCAGGCCCAACCTGCAGTCAGAAGTGTAGTAATTCTGTCAACATTCACTGCAATTTAGTGCACAGTCCACCCGCTGTCTTGTCAGCCGTGGGCTGTAAACCGGGAACAGGGAAGGTTTGCGCTCGGGTGTCTACGCTGTGGGGCAGACTGTCAGTGACCTCTGGTGGCTAACGAGTGAAACTGCAGCTCGACCGTGGTGAAGCGCCCGCTTGACGATTTGATCCGAGAGCTTCTGTCGGGATGTCGAGGCCCTCTCAAAGTCACCGGCGCGGTTTACCGCGAAACCCAGTGACTGTGGATTTGCAGGTGAACGTGGCGGCCCAATTGCCGCCGCAGTTGCCCCCCAACAACATCCACGAAGTGAACGGACAATTTTATCTGGAGGATTATTAGCCAAAGGCACCGAGAGTAACAAAGTCCCTGTGTTTGCCGACCGTGACAACGGGATTTTAAATGTCCAGCTGAACAGGTGGAGGACAGCAGCTCTGAGGCATAGTGATAGAATGGCGAGAGGGAGGGAGGGAGGGAGGGAAGGAGGGATGAGTAAATGTTTCCAGGCTCCCTCCTGCCCACATGCACGTTCCCCAGATATCTAGGAAAGTAATAATAATAATAATAATAATCCTTGTATTTTTTTTTGGAGGGATTATTACCCCCGGAAAAGTGATCCGCCAATCAACGAACAACCGTGTTCCTACTGACTGCTGGTAAACAGAGGCGTGTGTGCGGAGTAAGGAAACTTGCCCAACGTTTCGCCCCGACCTGCCCGGGAATCAAACCCGGGTCCTCTTGTTTGAGAAGCGAGTGCTCTAACCTCAGTACTCTGCTCAAATGGTTATTGTTCATGTGCGAGTCTTGGAAACAAGTCTCACTCAACAGACCACCTCGACTGTAGAAGGTATCAGAGCTGAGCCTGACTTTTTCCACATCTTCTGCTACAATACAGACACCCCCCCACCCCAACCGCTTACACACACACACACACACGTACACTTGTCACACCCAGGGCTGCCTCTGCAAGTGAATATTAAACCTAAACGTTTCAGAATTCATGGCCAACATGAGCAACACCTGCCCTGTTTTCTCCGACATCCCCTCCCGTCACGTAGTGCACATCGCGTTCCGCACCTAAATTGTTGTCGCTTTACAATCATGTCCAAAGCCTTCGCCGCAGACACAGAACATTGTGCAGCACCCCACCTAGTGGACCACACAAAGCACACACGGGAATGGAAAACGGCGGCGTGGAAATAATAATCTTTGCCTTTGATACAACGCCTTATCGTGTCTTCGAGTCGCCTCAAAGCGCTTCACAGAATATATTGTAAAGTGCAGTGACTGTGTATTTTGTGGGCGAAATGCGGCCGCCAATTGCGCACAGCAGCGTCCCCGCAAACAGGCGTGGGTTGAATGATCTAATTTTTTTTTGAGGGATTATTAATCCCGGAGAAGCGATCCGCCAATCGATTTACAACCAGATTCCTACTGACTGCTGGTAAACAGAGGCGTGTGTTTGTGTGTGTGTAGTAAGGAAACTTGGCCAACTTTTCACCTGCCCGGGAATCAAACCGGTTCCTCGCGCTTGTGAGGCGAGTGCTCTAATCACTGAGCTACAGGACTCCACAGTTTAACAAGCAGTTCTATCAGTTGGATGTTAAACTGCTTGCTTGAAAAGAACAATTGGGTAAAAGATGGAGAAAAGGTACCTAGAATATGATTTATATCTAACTAATAAAGCGTAGTTAACTCACACTCAAATAACTTGTGCCCAGTGCAAGTGAAATTCAACTCACATCTCATAATTTTTCATTAAATATCCCGCTCATACCATATCTTAACAAAAGCAAAAATAATGATAATTAATAGCAGATAGGTTGCCATGAAAGGTTTTTTCCCACAGTATTTGCTCTCAATATTGAAGCAGTCTCCATGAAATATGGCAAATATCTTATCACGTATGGTATAAATTAGGTTACCTAATCTTTTAGCGATAGAAGAATTACTTACAGAGAAGCAGTAAACCTCCCATCAAAGAAATGCAGGAATATAAATAAGGGAGATAAAATTCCCAAAGATCTGTGGGAAAAAACACAAGAAAATATGTTTTAGTAACTTTCAAGTTTTCCAAAGAAAAGTTGGTTTGATACAGTATTTACTGCAGAAACCTATGCAATAACTTAGAAATACAATATAAATGTTGCACTTTAAGATTACAATGCTAAATCAAAAGCGTGTAATACCCAAATAGCTGCAACTGAAAAGTTTTTGAACTGCACTTCACATACAGACAAGAGAAAAAAAAATGCAGGAATCGATTTGAATTGCAAAATAAAATCGCAATGATAACAATAATACTTGCATTTGATGCAGCGCCTTATCAGGTCTTCGAGGTGTCTCAAAGCGCTTCGCAGAAAATATTGTAAAGCAAATTGATTGTATATTTTGTGGGCGAAACGCAGCAGCTAATTGCGCACAACAGTGTCTTACAAACAGTCGTGGATTGAGTGATCAAATTATTAGTATTTTTTTTAAAGGATTATTATCTCCGGAAAAACGATTTGCCAATCGATTAACAACCGGGTTCCTACTCACTAGGTAAACAGGGGCGTGTGTGTGGAGAAAGGAAACTTGCCCAACGTTTCGCCCTGACCTGCCCGGGAATCAAACCCAGGTCCTCTCGCTTGCGAGGTGAGTGCTCTAACCCCTGAGCCACAGGACTCCACAATGCAAAGTCACCACAAGAGTAAAACAAAGCCTAGTATAAAGACTTTTCTTAGATCGTCAATACATTTGTGGTAATGAAGCCATCTTCAGCTTTGCAGCCAACTCGCCAACATCTTTCTCGGCTGGGTGTTGGAAACAAAGTTATTTGGGAACGAAAAAAAAGCCAATCCATGACATGAAAAGAAAGTTAGAGGATTAACTGGAAGATAGTTTGTTATATTTTTATTGGCTTTGGCCTTGTTATTGTCAATTTGGACAGGGTCCAAATGTAGACTTCATACACATTTATCATGTTATTTTATGCATAGCTTTATAGGGCAATTAAACCGCACACCCTGCAATTCAGTGTTTAATACTGTCATACAAGCAGCTCAGCTAGATTTCAGCTTCTACACATTGATGTAAGAGAAATGCAAACTTTCAGAAATAGTGAGAATAATAATAATCCTTGCATTTTTATACAGCGCCTTATCACGCCATTGAGATGCCTCAAAGCGCTTCACAGAATATACTGTAAAGTAAACTGACGGGAGATTTTGAGGGCCAAACGCGGCAGCCAATTGCGCACAGCAGCGTCCCCACAAACAGCCGTGGTTTGACCGGATTGTTACTATTATTTTTCTTTTGGAAGGGAGAATGTCAGGAGGAAGCTTCAATCGCACGCGGTTTCAACTTTGCATCGTGAATTGTGAAAACTCTCCCGATCAGGATTAAATTGACGTAGTTTCTCTTTTTTTAAAAAAAAAAGCATTTACATAACAGCGCTAGCCACTGTGCAGAGCCGGACACGACTAACCATGTCCACCGAACATATGAGAAACACCACAACTCCATCTGTTATTGCTCTTAAACCTGGAGCCATTAACTGTTGAGCAGAAAGAATCTCAGCCACGGCAAACAACGACAACAATTTGCATTTACACAGCGCCCTTCACTGGGGAGGGGGTGGAGGTAAACATGGTCGAAGAGGAAGCTCTTCAGTCGTGATCTAAAAGAGGGGAAGGAGGGGGCAAGGCAGCGGGATTTGGGGAGGAAGTACCAAAGCTTCGTAATTCTGTGATTAATCATCTCTCCAGGTGCTGGAAGCAGATATTGTACTGGTCTCTCGCACCACTCCTTCCACAGATTGCACGAGCAGAACATTCCTAGTTGAGGTATAAAGTCTTTCGCCCACAAAATATAGTCAATTCACTTTATAGTGCATCCTGTGAATCGCTTTGAGACGTCTCGAAGGTGTGCTAAGGGCCTATATCAAATGCAAGGATTATTATTATTATTATTAAAGCACATTTTTAAACCCTCAATCAAAAGTAGCCAAAGTATTTTCAATCCACTTACCGTATAAAGATTCCATACTGGCAGCATCGTTGTCAATCAGAGCTGAAGCCACCCAGACTATTCCCAATATAAGTAATGCGAGGAGAATAAGCATCACAAAGGTCTCCAAAATGCGTGCCTTAATCCCCTAAAAATGAATGGAAAACAATTATAGTGAGAGAAACAGTGTTGAGGTAAATTAGACGCTTACGAATATTAAGAGTACAGCAAAAAAAAACTGCTCATTCAAAAGCTACGCACGAGAGATCAACAAGTGCAAAGAAACAAGATACCAAACGCTTCATTTTAATGAGTAATTGAAGATCTCGAATCAAGACCTTGAATCTCTGGATCTCCAACTGGTGAAACCAGCATTGAGTGAGTAGAGGTATGGATTCGGGCTGAATAAAGTACAGCGGCAATACTCTTATGCAACAACAACTTGCATTTATACAGTGCCCTTCACGTGGGGTAGTGACCGGCAGCACCATCAAAAAAGGGAAGGGATTTGAAGGTGAGGAGGGAGAAAGAGGGGGGGGGACAGGCGGAGGGATTGAGGGAGAGAGTGCCAGAGTTTGGCTATTTATGCATTGCATGCTGAGCCGTGCTGCTGGCAACCTGCGTGGGGAGGGGGGGCATTTGTCAAATGTCTAATCACCAACGAATGACGATGTCCCTTTAGTGGAGGTGAGTGAGCACAAGTTGGAGCTACGCTGGTGCTCAAGTGAGTGAGCACAAAGAATGCACACTCTTCACCAAATGGAAATAATACATCTAGGAAGCTCTCAGTAGATTGGCTTGGAGATTCTTAACCAAGGTGATGGATTTCCATGTGTCAGACCCTCGGCTAACCAAACCAAACAATCCTAACTTGGAGTAATCCATAAATTCGACATTTTTTCAAGTTTAAATTTCAACACACGGCATTTTTCACATTTATCTAAGAGTTGATATCCTCGGTATTCGAGTAAAACGGTCATCCGCAAGCGCTGAAAACTACACGGACTACCTCTTCATAACCTCAGCACTGACATTTCTTGTTTGTTGTGGACATTCACAATAACAACAACAAGTTACAAGTGGTATAGCGCCTTTCACATCGGAAAGACGTCCTTATGAAATCCAGGAAGTGATATCAGCTACAACCCGACGATCTACAGACAGTCCAGAAGTATACTACACTTCCCTTAAACGCAGGACTATGGGAGACCTGCATTAAAAGTAAACTCAGGCCCTGCCCAGTATTTGTAGGCTAAGCTTTATTCTGCAGCTTCATTCTGTGGGATATTACAGGTCAAAGGCATATTGTGGAGAAATGTCCTCAGAGAATCAAAACACTCAGTGGTTTATTTGATTAGATATTCAAATTGAAACTAAACCTATTGTCTAATTCCATACAGATGTCCTGCTGGACAATAAGAAATGACATCTGAGAATCAAAATTATTAATAAGATGAAATCTGTTATACATCTACCACTTGTTGCTTTGCATCCACCTGATGGTAAAACTCTGGTTCATGTCATGTCACTGGAGATTTGTAGGTTAGCAAATATGTCTGAAGGTACACGAGGCAACATGCCTGTGCAAGTACTCCGAGACACTGTCCAGCATGAAGGGCACTATATAGTTGTTGTTGTTGTTGCAAGTTACGGACTCAGGATGCAAGAGCAATTGCTTTGAGACTCAATTTTGTTTTGGTCAGCTGGATAATAAGGATAATATTTATATTTGATATAGCGCCTTATTATTGAGACGTCTCAATGCGCTTCACAGAATATACTGTAAGTGAATCGACTGAATCTTGTGGGCGAAACAAAACGTTTGATATTTATTATTATTATTTTTTCGAAGCAATTATTACCCCCGGACAGCAATCCACCAATTGACTAACAACCTACTCACTGTTAGGTAAACAGAGGCACGTGGAGTAAGAAAACTTGCCTAAGGTTCCCCACCCCCGGCTGGGAAACAAACACAGGTCCTCTCGCTTACGAGGCGAGCATGTTAACCACTACGCTACAGGACTCTACAATGATCTCTATCTCCAAGGTCCCAGGTGAAAATGTCTTCTTGTCTTCCTGTGTGAAAACAAGGAGATTTGTTGCAGGTTGCAGAAGGGTTGCAGGTACAGATAAGACGGTCTTCATTGTCTTCAGACAGGGAAGCGTTCTAACAAGATCAATGGCGGAGAGGAAAGATTACCACTATATATCTTAAATGATGTGTAATAAGTGTTCTTTTTCAGTGTTCTCTTTCTCTCATATCAAAATTTCAATATTAGAGCATTCAATGCACGCATAGCCTCTGTCCTTTGTAAACTATCACTGAAATCTTTTAATCCAAATCCATTTGTTATCTATGGAGTAGTTTATAATGAGCACATTATCAAATAACCCATATGTATGTAAATAGGTATCGAACTGCAAAGCAGGGAGAACAAAGTGCCTTTAAGCGCCTTGGGACGTCCTCCCGACATGAACAACAACAACAAAATTACATTTGTATAGCGCCTTTTACGTCGGGAGGATGTCCTATAGGATTTATATTATCCCAAAGCCACAAAACTGTATTTTGGGGTGATAAGATGTTCCCTACTTTCTTTACGATACACAATATACACTCACGCACAACAATCTGGCACAAATTATTGCTTCCGCTCCTCTCTCCTGTCCCATAAAATCCACCAAAAATGATCTATAAAAAGTTTAACACATGAGAAAACTGCACTTTTTGCAGTGATCAGATCTCTCCCGCTGGCTCTCATGAAAATATGTTGGTGTGAGAGATTGCTTTTATGCTTCCAAAAATGAAATCCTTCATTTCAACATCGGATAGAGTTGGCGTTGTTTGTTGCACTTCACGTCACAGTTGCTTTCTACACTCATTTAGTTGAGATATGGTTACATACCACAGACTATCTGTTCGTTTTGACTCTAAACTTAAAATTAATGAACCACTATTGCAAGTTAAAGTCAAACATAGTTAGTATGGATTTCACTATATGTCAAAGGTAATTCTGACCCGCACTTCATTCTAGAGCAAGATATACAGACAACTGTGCAATCACATCATCTTTGATTCATGGGAATTAAGTTGACAAGACTGAACAAAATAAGGAAATGTCAACGACACATAACCAACTTAAAACTGTTTAACACCGCACGGTTTTGTGTCTCTAGTAATACCCGAGTGACTGTATACAATAGCCCTAAAACAAGCGCTAATAATTTTGTCAAAAACCATCAATGTCATTCAATTAAAGACTCTCATTCTCAAAACCAGCCTGTCTTCAGCACATTATTTCCTCTGATTTATACACCCTCAGAGACAGTGCTGACTGTAAATTACTCAAAGTGGGGAGAGAGCTTTTACTGCCACCATTAATCAGCCGCAGATAAACACACGGGAGTAAAACTCAGCCGATTGCCCAGCTTTCCATTAACAGCTGTAATCTGGAGCTGGAAGGTCCCAAGAGGAAGCCTCCTATCAGTTCATTGCTCACATGTACTTTAGTTAAAGACACACCAGATGTCAAACTTACTTATTAGTCTATCCTTCAACCAAAGCAGTGTTGCACTGTGTCAAAGATGAAAAGCAGACTGCTACTGTTAATAATAAAACATCAGGGCAGTGAATGACACTTTGATGACATATTTCCTAATGAAGCTTTCACACACAAAAAAAGTGAAATCTTTTTTCACCAATACCAAAATCAACTGTTACAAACCCACAGTTATGTGCATACCTAATAGAAACGAGACTGAAAGCAAAACAGCCTTCAGCAAATGGCACTTTGTTAACCAATGTACTATTAATGATCTCATAATGGACTGAATTTGTAACTATCAAAACAAACATAACGAAATACATCCTGAGATGGATTGAACTTTCAGGTACTAATTCAATGCAGACACTGCAGAGAAGACCATCTTTTCGGCTCTTAGTTTCTTAAATTTGCCGTACAAAATAATGCAAAATAACCTTGAGATGATAACCCTAACTGGTCAAATGTAATGCTTATCAAATTACCATAAATTATGGTGTATAGATTGCATCTTTATGGGATTATTTTAACCATCTGCTAACAAGGTCCGCAACATAGAGTAAAATTTAAGTAAAAATGTAGGAACAAATGTTCACAACAATCACCAGCAATGGTATTCCAGTCAGGGATATTGCTATGCACAGATCAAGAGCTGCCAATTTAAATGCATTTATCAAGTAGTTTTTTTTAACTGGCAATTAACGTATCACTCACTAGGTTTAAAATGATTAAACCACAATTGATTGTCTTTCAATGCAGACATCACTCAACAAAGAGGACCAACCTGGACATCGATGTTTGCCATTACATCTGATGGTCAAAAGGACAAAAACTCCATTAAATCCACAACATACATGACTGGAAATAACAGACACCATGGACTTTATTACCTGATAATCTCAGCTCAGGGTTTCAGATAATGGCAATAAACTACTTAAACTACATTCTTACAGTTTATATCATCTGAACCTTGGCTTCCGATCACTCCCAAATATCTATTGTTGTATTTTAAAGAGCATTCCATTCCTCTGGGACAATTATTATTATTCTCTGAAACAATTATTGTTATTTCACCCATAAAATACGCAATCAATGCATTTCACAATTTATTCTATGAAGGCTTTGGAACGTCTCTACAATGTGACATGGTGCTACATCAAATGCAAGGATTAATATTATTATTAGTTTCAATTTGAGAATGGATATTTATGAAGAGTTACAAAGGAAGGCAGTTTAAGTTGCAGTAATTGCAATATTAAATTGGAAAATTAAATAAATTAGCTAAGAAATTGAGCAATTAAAATGAATTTCAACTTGATCTGAAAAATATTTTCAGCACAATCCTGCCATAACTCTGTTTAATAAAACAATTATAAACACTGAATATTCCCTAATATTACACACAGAACTCGAATGTTAAATAGATTGCTGGAGATGGGGCTGAGGTGGGCTGTAGAGTGGATTAGCACATTGCTTTCACCACTTGAGAGTTTAACACTAGAATTTGAATCCAGAAGAATGAGAGGTTTCCCTCCTTATCCTCTCCGCTGCCTTCAATACAACTGACAACGCCATCGTCTTCGACCGCCTCTCTTCCCTCACT